AAGGAAGGCAACAGTACTTCAAATGACCACTTGTTACAACAAAGGTATGCAGAAGAGCATCTCCGAATGCAGAATATCTCGAACCTTGAAGCAGACAGGCTACAGCAGCAGAGGACCACACTGGGTGGCACGCCTGTCAGCTAAGAACAGGAAACATAGGCTACAATTCATTCATGCTCACTAAAGTTGGACATTAGAAGATTGGGAAATGTTGTTGAGGCTTGATTTCTGCTGCAACATTCAGATGATAGGGTCAGAATTTGATTTAAATAACAGCACTGATCCATCTACTGTATTAACAGTCTAGGTGGATGGTGGTGGTGTAAGTTTCGTTTGGGCCCCTTAGTACCAGCTGAGCACAGCCTGGGTATTGTTGTTGACCATGTTCAACCCTGACCACAGTGTACCCATGATTTGGTGGCCACTTCGAGGAGGATAAAATTAGAAAACACATATTCTTTCCTCAGTCAAAAACAACTAAAAATCATTACATTTTAAGGGGATGGTTAAATTCTAATAAAGTAAAATAAAATAAAATAAAATAAGGGAACTTCATTTATACAGCATTTTTCAGAAAAGACATGCAAAGGCTTTAAAGTGCTTAATTAACTTGGCACTTAGTTATTGGTGCTCTTGTGACCAGTACAAACTGGTTAATAACTGAATATTCCTAGTGGAAAATCAAATATTACCATTATCCAGGTGATCGCCATTATATTTGGGGTCCTATGGACTAGAAAAGCGCTATACAAATGCAGGCCATTTACCATTTACCATATATAGTAGAGTGCATTTGAAGTAGCACAATCCATTAACAAAGAAAACAAATGATAATGAACTTAATTTATGGAATAACTTTTCTAACTATGTTACAACATGCATTTTAGATAAAAGATGCACAAGATCTTTTAAACTCTTTATCAAATTAGCATTGGAGATTAAATGAAACAGGCGGCCAAAGCATTTACAATCACATCTCCATTGCCTCCAGCACAACATGACTAAAATTTGTCACACTGCTGGCGTTCTCCATTATCTTCCTGATGTTATTAGGTCTTGATTAGCACTCTATTTCATATTTATTTTTAATGTGAGAGGTTACAGCTCTGTAATTCCATTTGTACAACATGATTGTGCTTCAAGGGACTAAAATTAAATCTCTCAGTGTCTGGAACAGATCTGGACATTGTATGGCCTCTAGGCCACATCCGGCCCTTTGGTTGTCCCTGAGTGGTGAGGTCAATGGTAAAGTAGGATTCAAACATAAATATCCACCATACAGTAGTTTGAATCACCATTAGGAGACTAAAGTTGCAGAGAAGTACAAGAATTTGACTGATGCAGAGTGGCAACAGACACCTGAACCTTTGCTATTAAAGCTGTAAAAGCAACAAGCTTCACACATTCAGGGACGGATTAGTCAAGATCAACCATAAGACTAGCCATAAACTCAGAAAAACTAGTAAGTCATGATGGGGAGTTGAAAAACAAAGCGGGCAATTTTGACAGCCCAGACAATCGTTTGTTGTATCTGGGGTAAAGAAGATTATTAAGACCTGGCAGTGTGCACTGAATGAAAGGGACTCAGGCAGAGAATTCTAGGGAGGTAACTTAGATAACTTAGATAAGCTGGGGCTGAAAGGGGATTGTTGATTAAATAGTGGTAAACTGTTGGCATGTATTTTCACTTTTTCATTGCCTAATTGTAACATTTAGCTCCACCTGTAGCACTTTATAAAGAAATAAAATTTATATTAATTATTGGTTCTGATGTGGCCCCTTGGGAAAAATTAATTGCCTACCCCCATCATTTTGAATCAATCACAGGCATTTTGGAAAAGATGATCTGTCGAGCATGAGCACTGACTCTCACACCATGACAACTGTAAGCTGAATGAGCAGTTCAGACTGACATGCGCATGTATGTTCCTCCAGTACTGACAGTCATCGTAGAAAGTGTGGACGTGCCGCAGCTGTGTTCAGTCTTGTGGTGAACTCAACTTATGAACTATTCAATGATTTTGTTTTGATATTCCTTTTTTTGTTGTCCCAGGTCAAAGCACATTTTAGTTATTTGAGCAGGTTTAGAGTGAAGATAAGTTGGAAAACTGTAGACATGAAGCCATACAAGGAAGTAAAGCAGCTCTGCAGTACCTCCTGTGTCACATTCCTGTTGTGTTATCTCACCAAGCGGGAGATAAAACCAACAAGGGAGGGTAACTGGAGAGAGAACTGAGGTTCCAATGACAGGCATGCAATATCAGTGAGATCTGAGCTTAAGTAATCAACGACTCTCATCTAACAAAATCTGGATAATTTTTAAACTTGTTCATTAGATTATAAATTTATAACTGGGATTCCTACTTTTGCATTAAAAAAAAGCAAATATCACATTGACATAAATATTCATATATTTATATTCTCTTTGAGTTACTTCTACGCCGTTGTTTGTTGCTCATTAGATTTGTCATTGATACACTACTCACCTATCCAACAACTGACAGTGCATATGTGTCCAAAATCATTTCTTATGGGAGAAATCTGGAATAGACAGGGTTTATGCTACTGCTTGTATTCTTGCCAAACTAAGTATTTGGGGGAGAAGGGCCTTGGTAAGAGAACAGACCAAGTAACAAACGATAACTTTGGGAGACCTGAAGAAATCCTTGGTTGAGATGTGAGAAATCTCTTTAAGGATTACCATCAATGCCCTGATCTCTAATCTGGTCAACGGAGACGTTTTCTGGTTTGATGAATCTGTGATTGAACTTTTTGGCCTCAATTCTGAACCTTGTGTCTGGACAAAAATGTGTGATGGCAGCAGCATCATTTTGTGTGTTTGTGTGGTGGTCTGGTCAGGGTTTGGCTGAATGGCAGTACAGTACACCGAGATGAAAATATGTTTAAGAGTGCTAAAGGTAGACGTTTCAGCTTCCAACATGAGAAAGGCTCAACGCATGGCGATGAAGCAATATGGTAGAGAAAACTAAGTGCTTAGTCCTTTGCTTTTTCACCTGGCACTATTTTCAGTGGCAGCAGCTCCTGTTGTTTTTTCATTTTAAATGGTAAATGCTTTTCTACTGTACTTGAACACTCAAAGCAGTTTATACTAGAAACCTCATTCGACTGTTCATACAAAGACTTTTTCTGTGCCTAAGTGCTTTCTATCTAACAGAAGTCACATACATTTACACTCCAATATATGCATCAGCACAAACTATGAACTCAGTGTTTTGCACAAGGACACAATGGCATACAGAAATTAAACCAGTAACCTTCAGTTTATTAGACAAATTGCTCTACCTCCTGATCACACAGATTAATGACTTCATCATCACATGAAGTTGACTTTTCTTGGTGTGGTGGAGAAATGGCTGCTTTTTATTTTGTCAAGTCTTGTCAAGTGTTGCAAGTCTACCCTCTGCTTTTTCTGATACTCTGAAAACAGAGATTCTCACCAGCTGATCACACCAGCAGTTCTAGTCCCCGGAGCGAGGCTTTTAATCCTGGAGAACCTGCAAGGAGACCACGGGAATGGCTAACAGGAGGAAATATAAACCATCTGTTCCAACAATCATCATGGGAAATGTGAAGTCCTTGGACAGTGAGATGGATGAGCCTGGTGAGCAGTTTAAGAACCAGAGAGAATAATGAGTGTAGTTTGATTTCACGGAGCCACACTCACACTTCCCAAACCACAGTGTGACTTTTCCTGGCAGACAGGGAAATTAATCTGAGTGGTAAGAATTAACACTGGGCTTACAGTTTTTAAGTAAGTGGTTTAATCTCAGTAATGTTATTTTAAAAGAATGTGTCTGTGGCCTGAATTTTGAACTGCTAGCTCTGGGAATTTGTCCATCTTACCTGCCAAGGGAATTGTTGTCCCATCATTGCTATTGCTGGTTGAATCCAGTTCCTCCATCATTCCTCCATCAGCTGCTGCAGAAGTCATCCAAATGACTGTGGCTGAATGCATAATGAATGGATGCAAACCACCCTATGCACCACTTGCTGGATAGGCAGCACAACACTTTGTCTTTTTGTCTGCTTCAAACCACAACAGCCACATTTAGTATGAGTTTATCGGGCTTCTTCTCCTATTTTGTTCAGATTTTGATTTATTGAGCTCTTTGCTTTTTTCTATGTTTATTTTATTGAGCTGTTTAATATTTTGAATCTATTTTGTTTGGATTGTTGTTTTGTTATGTTTTGGCTGCTGTAACACAATAGTTTCCCAACTTTTATAATAACTAGACCACATCTTATCTTGTGTGACCAAAGCCCTGACTTGAATGCAGTCAAACTTCACCTTGAGATGCCTGAAAATGTCTTCCTTTATCTCCTTACTTATATGTTACTGAATATTTACTTAAACATTAACTTTAGCGTTTAGTCTAATAAACTGTAAGAGATCGTACTTTGGATACTGGTATTTGATTCAGTAAGTTTGAGATGATACTGGGTGCAATTCTAGAAAATACTGCACTTTTCACATAGTAAATGAGTAAATTAAAACATGACAAAACACAATCACAAACTGTAAATTCTCATCAATTATAGGTAATTTAACCCAAGACACTCT